TCAATGATGAGAGAGAATCATTCATCAGCTGCTCCCTGCTCACCCCACACTGGTGGTCAAGCCCATGACCCTGGTATGTGCCCCTACCGAGAATTGAACCACAACCTCCTGGTTCATAGGTCGTCGCTCAACCACTGAGCCAAACTGGCAAGGGCACATCTTCCTAATCTTGACAGTGCTTTGGATATGGTTACTAATTGGTTTTTCTACATTTACACACTTATTAATTCACATTAATTTACTTAGGATATTACCTGAACCTAAATATGCATTGACCATTAATTGTTCCACAGATTAACTTTAACTGAGAAGATATTTTTTCCAATACAAGAAATGCCCCCATTCTTCATCCTCAGGTTATGCAAAGACTTATTCTTTGCTCTTCTTGTATCATTTCCGACAGAAGTCTGTCCTTCACATCATAGGAGTTGGTACTTTCCATCCAGATACCTGCCTGTAGCTTATCTCTTGCACTATGTGTGTCCCCACTGATCCAGTCACCCTGTCCTGGAGCTTGTCTTCCAATACTGAGGATCATGAATACCGAAGTCCCAAAACTTTGGCCAGCACCAAAACAATATTTTTTTAAGTTATTTTATAGTAATTTCAGTCTTACTCAAAGGTGCTTGAATAGTACAGAGATTTTCTGATAATCTTTATTGATATTTGCTTTGCTTTATCTTTCTCTCTTCTTCCTTCTCTCTCCTTTGCTCTTCCTCCTATTTTTCCTGAATACCCTAATAGCAATTTGTAAACATGATGCCTTTTACCATAAATACATTGGTGTGTTTTCAAAACAAGGACGTTTCTTAACCACAATAAATTGTCTTTCATAGCTACTATTATTAAAATCTTACATAAACTTAGAACAATTATTAATCCTAATACAAGATTAATATCTAATCTTTAGATTTTATATCCAATAACATCCTTTATGGGAAAAGAAAACATTTTTTGTCCTGATTCAGAATCCTGTCCAGGATTACTTGTTTACATTTATTTGTTGTCTATCACATTAAAAAAAATACATTTTATTAATTTCATGGAGGATGGGCAAGAGAGAGAGAGAGAGACATCAATGATGAGAGAGAATCATTAATTGGCTGCTTCCTACATGCCCTCCACTGGGGATCAAGCCTCAAACTCGTGCCAACACTGATGGGTTCTTGGGCTGTGTGTGTGTATGTATTTGATATATATATTAGTATATATGTAATTTTAGGGTTCATTGTACCTCAGGACCTGATTCCTTCCCTATAGAAAAGTTATTACTGATGAATTTTACAAGTTCTCTTCTGCATAGAATAAAAAACTTTTATACAGATTTACTGCTTTTCCAAATTGGTGCTCAAACTAGGCTCTTCTGAAACTGTTTTTTAATTATGAGCAACTTTTCAAACTTGAGAGCATTGGGTCTTCATTTATCTCTCCAAATCTGATTGCAGTAATATTTGCCCCCCTGATATTTGCTTTTGCTGTTTATATCTTTAGAAATTAATAAGAAGGAGATAAGATTAGGCGTCACAATAATATCGACCCAGAACTCTCTTATTCAAATAACTCGAGGCCGGGTGCACGAGACTCCTACACTGGGTGGGGAGTGGGGGGGGGGGGGTTGTTCCCAGCAGTCCAGGAGCCCTCAGGGTATATCCAACCGACAGCTTAGGACATCCAGTGGGGAATGGTCCTAAGCAGGCCGTCGGAAATCCTTAACGCTGCTGCAGAGGCGGGGTTCCCACCACTGGCAGCTGTGCTCCCCAGTCGTGAGCCCTGCTTCTGGGCTTCTGGCTGAGCTGTGCTCCCCCTGTGGTAGCCCACTGACCATCAAGGGGCAACTCCTGCACTGAGCGTCTGCCCCCTGGTTGTCAGTGTGTGTCATGGTGACCACTCGTTTTGCTGTTCGGTGGATTTGCACATTACCCTTTTATTATATAAGATTTTATTTTTAAAATATATTTTATTGATTTTTTGCAGAGAGGAAGGGAGAGGGGGATAGAGTTAGAAACATAGATGAGAGAGAAACATTGATCACCTGCCTCCAAGGTACATGCCCTTGACCGGAATCAAACCTGGGACCCTTCAGTCCACAGGCCGGCGCTCTATCCACTGAACCAAACCGGTTAGGGCTATTATGTAAGATTTTAAAGATCAAGTGAAAAATCCCAGATGAAGGTTTTAAACATGGGTCAAAATGTGGAAATATTAATAGTGATAGCAATACAATGGATTTTTAAATAGATTTTAATCAGAAAGTGAAGTTATCACTTTTACATACGTTCACATTGTTTTGAAGGAGATCTTCAGAACTTTTTTCTTGCAAACATGAAACTCTATACCCATTAAATAACTCCTCGTTTCCCATTACCCCAGCTCCTGATAACCAACATTACAATTTTCATTTCTATTTGATTGACTACTTTAGATAAGTCATATAAGTGGAATCATATAGTATGTCTTTTTGCAACTGACCTATTTCTCTGATTCTAAGTATCATTTCCTAAAGTTTCATCCACGTTTTAGTATTTGAAAGGATTTCCTTTTTAAGTCTGAATAATATCCCATTTTGTGTATATACAATTTTTTTTTTGTTTATCCATTCATTTATTAATGGACATTTTGCTTCTTCCACTGTGAATATGGATATGGAATCATCGGTTCAAGACCCTGCTATATTAATTCTTTTGTATATATACCCAGCACTCTATTTGTGGTTTGTTCTTTTAGCAACTTCCACAATTTCTATAGTGGTTTGCTCCATTTTATAAACCCACCAACATATGTAGTGCTTTTAAAACATTTTTACTTTGCTAATAATCTTAACTATATTTTCTTAAGCTCATCATCTGTTTGGATATTCTATTCTGTTCTGCCTATTTAATGGTGTTTCTATTACTCATTTGCAGAAGTTCTTTATTTTGGATAAGAATATTTTATCAATTATATATATAACATAAATATTTCTCTCACTGTATTGCTTGCTTGCCTTATCTTTTGCCTGTTAATGTTCTCAATGAAGATATGTTCTTAATTTTAAAATAATCTAGCTTAACTTTTTCCTTTATAACAATTAAATTTGGTGTTTTATTTTTAATGTTTTACCTGCTCCCAGGTCATGAAGATATTTTCTTTTAAAAACTTCTTGCTTTGTCTTTCATTTTTTAGATCTACAATATAACTCAAGTTACATATGTGAAGTAAGGGTCAAGATTCATTTTCTTCTATATGGATATCTACACAGTACTGTTCATTGAAAAGACTTTTTGCATTGTCACATTTGTCCTAAGTCAGGTGATCATTTTTATACTGATCTCCTGAACTCACTATTCTATTCCATTAATCTCTTTATCTGCCATTGTACTAATTTGAAACTAACTCAATTACCATAGTTTTGCAATAGATCTTGATTTCTCTGCCTTTTCTTGGCTCTTATTGTTCCTTTGCATTTTTATAGAAACAAGTTTGTCAATTTTCACCCAAACCAAAACCAGCTGATAGGATTGTGATTGGGATTGCATCAAATCAAAAAATCAATTTGGGGAAAATTGACATTAATAGTGACTAATCCATCAACATGGTATCTCTCTCCATTTATTTAGGTCATCTTTAATGTATTTACAATTGTCAGAGGTCTTTTGCTTAATTTTGATTGCTCTGAAAAAACACCAGGCTGGATAGATTATACAGAACAGAAATTTATTGGAAGTCTGAGATAAGGGAGCCAGCACGGTTGGTTGAGGACTCTCTTCTCTTTGTGTCTTAACATTATTGAAAGAGCTCAGAAGCTCCATGGGGTCTCTTTTTATACACTAATCCCATTCATGAAGGCTTTCTGTCTATGACCTAATCACCTTCCAAAGGTCCCTCCTCCTAGTACAACCACATTGGAATTTAGGATTTAATATGTGAATTTTGGAAAAACCCAATTATCCATGTCATAGTAAGACTTCAGCGATTTATTGAACCTATATCTGAATTTTGAGACTCATTCTTTATTTTCTATTGCTCATTGAAGGAAATTTGTAAAAAAAAAAAAAGAAAATCTGATAAAGACAAATACCACGAATAAATAACATTTTAGCATTTTCCATACGAAGAACGGATCAATAGAACTTTGTTGTAGTCTTGACAACTTGAAAGTTATCTGGTATCATTTCGTTTGACACCGTATATATAATTTTGTACTTTTTGAAAGCAAATGTATTCTTATTTGGCTATACAGGACATATAAACATAAAAAACATTTTAATATAAATAATAGGGTTTAGGGGGAAGGTTCTAAAGCCAGCTCTCCTCAAGGGATGCCTTGGTAGCAATGATTGTTAACCATCTGGAGACGGAAAAATGTGATTGTGTAAATAACATCTTAATACCCTACGGGTATAATATAATGTAAGCTAAATGGATAAATACTCAAAAATGATTGTTGTGCTTTACATTCACCATGGCAGCTGGACACTCTAATCTTATGATAAAATAGGTGTGATAAACCCTGATGACAATGTGGAGAAAAATCACAGGAATTGCAGGAACATTGCTTTCTATGTTCATTATTCTATTTAGTCAACCATCCGCTCAAGGAAAAGATCCATAACTTTCTTCAGATGCTAAATTTGATGACTCAAGTTTATTGTTAATGTTAGCAATCCTTGGTTATTTTTATCTAGCTAGATTTGTCCTGTTGTGACATTTGTGTAAGAGAAGTTAGTTGGGCTCTTCCCCACAGCATCCTCTGGTACCTCTTTTGCAAAACTGTATCAACAGTGACAAAAACAGAGTGCTTGGGTCTACTTGTACAAATAATAGCCACATACCGCAGATTTCTTTTCTGTGAGTTATTTGGAGAAAACTAGGATGACAACTGAAGGTCCTATAGGCGTCAACCCTTTGTGAAACAGTAATTTTAAAAGATAAAATGCACGACAGAGCTTCAAAAGCAATAGTCGCTGTGTTTAACTTTTGGTTTCTCGAGTTCCATCAGTGAATACATTCTGCTTTTGCAGGTTTTAAGAAGAAGCAGCGAAGAAGAGAAGGTTCTTTGCTTGGTTCGGCAGCGTACAGGCCACCACTGTCCAACAGCAGTGACGGTGGTGCTGATCCTGGTATGGGATGGCATTCCCCTTCCCATGGCAGACAGACTGTATACGGAGCTTACCCAAAACCTGAGGACGTACAATGGGCATCCCACAGACCGAAGATGCACGCTCAATGAAAAGTAATCATATCTATTTTGTACTGTCTTGACATTCAGGCTTCTATTATATAATGTTAAATTGTTAATTAATTACCAACTATATATATGGGGCAACAAGATTTTAGCTATTGTGTAACTAAAAACAGTGCCCATTTCTTTAGAGAAAGACATAATTTCATAGGGAGTTAAGACCATTTTAGGATATCCTGCCTTAGAATATTCTTTTATTGATTCTTTCTTTGATATCTCATCCCACTCACCTCAAGTATCTGGAGCAGACTGGTTTTTCCGTAAAGGAAAAGCTGCCTCCACAGGGAACTGTTCGTTCCACTTTGCATTTCCTCCAGCAATGTGAGAGAGTATCTGTTTTTTTAATCTCCAACCTTATTTGTGTCTCAATTTTGAATGGTATGTAAAGATATTTTTCTATCTCTCAAGATGTAGAGTAATTCACCCATGTTTTCTTTTAGAATTTTTTGAAATCATAAATGATGAGAGAGAATCATTGATAGACTACCTCCTACACAACACACACAAGGGATCAAGTGACCTCCTGGTTCATAGGTCAACGCTCAACCATTGAGCCCCACTGGCTGGCCTATAATATATTTTAATATTTGGTAGGGTTAGCTTGCCACTCTAACTGTTTTTCAAGACTTGTCATTCTTTTTTTCCCCTTTGTGCTTTTAAACAAACTTCATAATCAACTTTGTAGTATTAAGGTAAATCTAATTATATTTTTAATGAGACTGCATTAAATTATAATAAATGGACATCTTTATGATAATGAATCTTGCTATCCCATAAATGGTCTTTTTTTTTTTTTTTTCAAGTTTCCTTGTGTATCTTTCAGGAGAGTTTTATGTAGTTTTCCTCAAATAGGTCTCTTTTTAAGAAGAAATGTCATTATACAAAATATAATAAAAATATCATTCCTTCTAATTCCCACACAAGATTAATTAGTATACTTCCCAGAGCGTTCATTTATGCTTATATTTTCCTTTCATTATATTTTTCTTTTTAATGGCCACAAGTTTGTGTACATCTTTTTTGTTGTTGTTAATCCTCACCTGAGGGTATTTTACCATTGGATTTGTTTTTTTTTTAGAGAGAGGGAAAGAGAGAGAGAATCACTGATGTGAGAGAAACACATCTACTGGTTGCCTCCAGCACGTGCCCTAATCAGGGTGTAGGCTAGGGAGGACCCTGCAACCAAGGTACATGCCCTTGACTGTAATCGAACCCAGGACCCTTTGGTGCAGACCAAGGCTCTATCCACTGAGTCAAACCAGCTAGGGCTGTACATAAGTTTTAATGTCTGCTAATTATTTTATATGGGTATACAATAATTTTTTATTTGAAGATACTGCTTTAAATGATACACATATATCGTCTTATTCAATCTTTTCAAGAATGCAATAGTTATATTTCACCCAATGTAGATCTAGCATTTTTTCAATAATTATTTTTATAGAAAATATGTAAGAATGCTTAAATGAACGCTTACCTAGATTACATCATTGTTACTGGTTTGTTATATTTGCATTTATACTCATAGGCACATAGACACACATTTATGTATATACATATTTTCATTACTGATTTTAAAATATTTTCTTCTGTATTATTATTATTTTTTTAAATATATTTTTATTGATTTTTTTTTACAGAGAGGAAGGGATAGGGATAGAGAGTTAGAAACATCGATGAGAGAGAAACATCGATCAGCTGCCTCCTGCATACTCCCCACTGGGAGCGTCCGCAGGCCGACGCTCCATCCACTGAGCCAAACCGGTTAGGGCTGTATTATTTGTGAAATACTTTCACACTTAAGACTTTTTCCCCTAAATAATACTTTATAAGTTAATAGTGTCCTGGTGCATGGATTTGTGTAAATTGAAAGGAAATTAATTAGAAGAAATATTTTAATATCACTATTCGCCCTTTCTCTATAATAGAAGTATCAACCAAATTCTCAATCGACAATGACATATCGAAACACATACATGCGATTGGCACCAGCAAGGGCTTTATATGTATCACTCATGTGCGAGTCAACTTAGCCTTATATATATATATATAGAATCCTAAAGCATTCTTATGCATAAACCCAGTACAATAATCAAAATCAGAAAATTTAACTTCTATTTAAACAATTAGTTAAAATGATCTAGTCTACAGTCCATATTCAAATATCTTTTTCCCAATAATAATCTTTATCATAATTTTTCCCCACCCTAGATTGGGTGGATTAGGTTGGTTTTTATTTTATAGTTGCTTAATCCTTTAATCTCACTTCTCTATGTTACATGACATTGACATTTTTAAAGGAATTGGTTAATTTTGTACAGTGTTGCTCAGTTTTGGCTTGTCTGATTGTTTTTGCCCGATTCAATTCAGTTCAGGAATTACGGGCATACTATACTCAATCCATAAAATTAGGACTTATGAGTCCATTTATTCCATTTCAGAGATGTTGACTGTTTAAGGTTTCTTTGGAAGCTCTAAGTGACTTCACATACAATATATATGATTGTTTTCAGGCCGCAAAGAATTATATCAATGTGTTTTATAGATGGAGGAAGTAATGTCCAAAGTGGTCATGAAATGCTATAATTTTCATTTCCGATAGGGATCAGATCTGGGATGTAAATCCAGGCCCTTTATATTCCATTCTCAGACCATCTTCAAATCAAACAGTTTATGAGTGTTTTAGATCTGTATAGTTTATTAGAGTTTATTTAGATTTGCAGTCTTGAGCATTTTATTTAAAATTTTATTCAATATTTTAAAATCCTATATAATAAAAGGCTAATTTGAAAATCAATTGAACAGCCGAACGACCGGTCGCTATGATGCGTACTGACCACCAGGAGGCAGAAGGTCAACACAGGAGCTTGCCCCCTGGCAGTCAGTGCACTCCCACAGGGGGAGTGCTGCTCATCCAGAAGTCGGGCTCAAGGCTGAGGAGCGCAGCAGCCAGTGGCCAGTAGCGGAAGCCTCTCCTGCACCTGCAGTTGTGCTAAGGATCCCTTGGGGAATGTCCAACTGCCGGCTTAGATCCGCTTCCCCGAGGGGTCTCGGCCTGCAAAAGGGCGCAGGCTGGGCTGAGGGAACACCCTCCTAGCCCCCCCGCCCCTTCAGTGCATGAATGTCGTGCACTGGGCCTCTAGTTAGTTTAATTATATTCACATATATAGTTCACATTGTGTTATTAACAGTAGTTAGATATAATAATAAAATATATTAAAATCAGTTTATTAGCCATGTGTACTTTTAACGTTATATGAACCTATCTGAAGTATTGTCCTGCTTTATCAGTTCATTGCCTTGCAATTTCCATCTTACAGTCGTACCTGTACATGTCAAGGAATTGATCCTGAGACTTGTGGAGCTTCATTCTCTTTTGGCTGTTCGTGGAGTATGTATTTTAATGGCTGCAAATTTGGTAGAAGCCCAAGCCCTAGAAGATTTAGAATTGATCCAAGTTCTCCCTTACATGTAAGTGCCCTTTTAACTTTTGAATTATACACTGAATATA